AAAATCTTCCCTGTGAGGGTAGTAAGGCACTGGCACAGAGAAACTGTGAATGCCCCATCCCTGGACATGTCCAAGGCCAGGTTAGAAGGGGCTTGGAGCAACCTGGGATAGTGGAAGGTGTCCCTGCCCATGGCAGGGGGTTGGAACAAGATGGGCTTTAAGGTCCCTTCCAACCCAAACCATTCTGGGATTCCATGACTGTCGCTGGCCTCCCAGGTCTGGGTTTCACGTGTGTCACTCATAACTGCTGTATTTCATCCCAGATACCCCTCTGGCACCGTGGTGGCTTTCAGATCAGCTTTGGAACTCCCTATGCTGTGGTGTGTGTTCGTGGATCGCTTCCTGCACTGTGTTTTTTGGAGAGCCACACTCTTACTGCTTTTCCAGCCCCTGGCTGGATGGTTTTAGGGCCCCCTCATTGTACCTCCTCCCCTTTCCATCTCCCCATCTCTTAACTGCAAATCCCTGTATTTCTTCCCAAAGAAGAGGCTGCAGTCTGTGTTTCACACTGGGGCTCCAAACACTTTGCAGAGTCAAGAGCTGTTCCACGAGGGAACAGCAGGGAGAGAGAGGGATGGGGGCCTGGGCAAGAGGGCACCCCCCAAAGTGGGTGAGTAGAATATAGGTTTGGGAAATCTGAAGAGACAGAAAAATTTATTAAAAACAATTAATAGCTGCTCCAACCAAGGATTTAACCTGAAACCAAAACCTTAGGGAGGGAGGAAATGAAGTGGTGTATGATTGTTATTTTATTGCTTAATTTTTTTTTTTTTTTTTTTAGTATGATATGCTAAATGCAAATAAGCATTTGTACCAAGCAGGAGAGGGAGGGGATGGAAGACATGCCGGGAAAAGTGAGTGGGATCTAGGTTTTGCATCGTTCACTGAATTACTGGCAGGTCTTTTGTAACATCTGTTAAAAATAAAACAAACATTCATTTCCATTTCTCGCTGCCTGAGATGGCTCCTGCAAAAAAATTTCAACCTGTCCAGGAATTCGTCTTGAAAGTTGCCCTCCCTCTCCTCACGCCTCCTCCAGGGGAGATTTCCTTCCTGGACTTCCCAGGGGCTCCATTAGCCCCACATTAAAGCCTTTCTACTTTGCTCTAAAACTCTCCATCGAAGTAAAAGGAATTCTAATAAACCACTGGGAAGACTCTGCTATTCACTCTTTCCATGGAAACACAGCGCTGCCTTGGAGCAGAGCTCCTCTCGATGGAGCCTGGGTCACGGCAGGAGGAGACCAAGGAGGGATGCAGAGATGGTTTCCATTATAAGAGACCTTTTGAGAGAAATAATCGCTGCTCTCCCACCAAGGAAAGCCTTGGGGATGTCAGGGGCCTCGGCACGGCGCGGGAGCGGGGCCGGCCCCAGAGGGGGTGGTGGTGGGAAGTGGGATCTGCTGGGCACTGAGAAACTCATTAAAACATCTGATTAGTGGAAATCAAGGCACCCAGGACTGATTCCTCCCTCTCAGCGGCAGGGATGGGTCCAGGAGGGTGGATGGACCCGTGATGCAGGAAGAGGCTGCACAAGGGGGCTCAAGGATGGGGATGTGGGGTACGGGGAGGGCACGGGGTCACGGGAGGACAGTGGTGGCTCCACACCCAAGGCTGTGCTGCACAGACCAAACAGCACACCGCAAAAATACATTTTTCAAGGCCAAAAAAAGCCTGTTTGCTCTGGGAGGGGATTTCTGGCTGTTCCCTGGGTCCCAAATGGGAGCTGGACAAGGAGGTCAGTGGATGGATCCCTACCTAAAGCCACTGTCCTATAATTAATTTCCAGCCTCCTCGCAGGCACAGTCATCCTGAGTGTTGCTGTTCTGACACCGTGCTGCAAGATGAAGGATTTTATTTTTTTTTTTTTAAGCGTGAGGAAGCTCGTTAGAAATAGCCCGAAGGGCAAAGTTAGGAAATGAAAATCCATCGGATCCGCTCGGAGCCGATGCACAGAGCTTGATGAGAGCTGGGGCAGGGCTGCTGCTCCTGCCTGTGAGGAGCCACCACATCTGTGGGGTGTGTGGCACCTGGGCAAGGGACAAAAACCATCCATTGGTGTGGTTGGGAGTGGGGCTGAGGGAAAATCTGCCAGGAAGAGGGATGAAAGAAAGATAAATGAAAAAGAGCCAGCTTAGAGCATCCTGTGTAGGTACTGGGGAGGTCCTTGGACCCCGGGTTGGCCACTCATGTCAGGGCTGGATGAGGAGGCTGGTGGGAAAAGCTCAGTTTTCTCAGGATGCCTTATCATTTAGGTCAAAGTGGTGAGACACCGAGGGAGCCAGAGTGCCTTTGTTTTAGCAGCTCCAGAAATAACATTGCTATGAGTCATTATTGTTTAGCCTCTCCAGGGCAGGAGGTGCAGGGTTATGTCCAGGGAAGCCTCCAACTTTGATCAGCAAGGTGAGCCCTGCTCTCATGGCAGGGAAGGTGGGAAGAGGCTTTTTGATGCTGGTTGTGCTGTTTTGTGGTAGCTCAGGGTGAGATCTGCTCCAGGATGCTCTGGATCTGGATTTTATCAAGGGCATGGAAACTTTTCCATCTGCATAACTGAGCAGCAGCATCCTCTGTGAGCTGGGAGGTTTTAATGAGTGAAGTTAATTGGTGTTATAGGTGGTGGTCTCCCACCCAGGCAGTGGTTTGGCTTAGATAGACATGACCGTGTCATGCAAACAGAGGTGACGTGGGTGTTGACACCTCAGAAATGCTGAGAAGTCATGAAATCAGCCTTTTTGAACCCGTAAATCGTAGGTGCAGAACTTTAAGGGTTCCAGAAAAAGAAAAAGTGTTTAATAACCAAAGTGTTTGGTGGTGATTTAATTTGCATATGGGGCTCCCTGGGGCTTGTGGTTTCAACCTTTCACCCCACCACAGTGAGGTCAGCGTTGGAGGAGAGCGGGGCTGAGATCTTCCTGAAATCACAGGACTCCTGGAGCTGGGGATTTCAAACCTACCAGAGCTGGGAAATAACATGGACAGACCAGATTGTTGAATTTATTGGATTGTAGTGTAAAAATAACAAATCCTTTAGTCTTCTGTCAATCCCAGAGGAGAAGCTGGGGGTGATGTCCTTTGGGTCCATCCCACCTTGGCTTCACTAGGGTGGCAGTCACGGCTTGTGATGCCAAACGGTGCCAGGCTCTTGTGTGTGAAGGGCAGGGCAGATTGGTGATTACAGGGAATAACACCAAGTCCCTGGGGAGCCATGAGGTCCCAGCGTGATTTACCATCCTGCAGAGAGGCATGTGTGAAGCTGGAGGTGGCTGGGAGCATATTGTGGTGTATTACCTACAAACAGCCAGACTGGGTCTGCCATGGGGATGGGGATGAGGATGAGGATGGGGTGGGGAGGAAAACGACAGGGGAGATGAGAACAAGCAGTCTGCTTTTGCAGGTGCTGTGTCCCCTTGTGAGGTTCGGTCTGGTTTGCAGCTTGATGGCTCCTATCTCGAGTAATTAACAGGGAAAAGAGAGGGCCTGGTTATCCATCCTTCAAGAGCAAGGGGTTGAATTGAAAGGCAGCGCCTTGGAAGTGGATCAAATAGCTCTCCAGCCCCCCGCGTACGGCTCGGAAACTTGCTGCCGTGCTGCGTTATCAAGGTGAACAGCTTTAGTTCAATTAACGAGAGGCTCAGAGCGGAGCCGTGGGAGGAGGCAGGGCTGGGCGTTTGCGCCCTTCGGGGCAGCAGCCGGGGCGCGGAGCCGCGATCCCGGCACGGCACGGCACGGGTGGCCCGCTGGGCCAGGGCCACCACAGCTCGGCGTCCCTTGGCCGGCTCCCCCTCCTCGCCTCTGCGACGGGTTTTATTTACCCCTTGGGAAAAAAAATCGGTGTGTGTGTGTGTGTGTGTGGAAGGGTCGCTCTTTGTTAGCACCTCCCTTTCCCCCTCCTGCTAATAATAAACCTCCCCAAAATCAATCGCTGCCAGCGATGAGTTGCCACCCGCTCACCGTGCACCTCAATCCCCGCAGATGATGGTGCTGGGAGCCAGCGCGCCTGGATTTTTTCCTGCCGGTCGCTGCCTGGGCTGCAGCTGGCTCCGGCACGCAGAAAGCTGCAGGTGTGATTTGTTCATTTGCCTCCACCTCCCCCCTTTTCCCCCCCGCGCTGCCTCCCTCCTGCTCCGCTTCCCCGCCGAGCCCACCTAGCGCATCCCACCCGGCTCATCGCGGCGGCCAGACCCGCATCCCACCCTGCGCCGACTCCGGCATCTCCCCGGTGCAGTGCTGGCGGAGGGTTGGGATGGCTGGGGCTGGAGAGAGTGTGTGTGTGCGTGGAGGGGAGAGGAGGGGGGGTTAATCTGATCCTACGAGGTTGGAAGAGGGAGAAAAAAAAAAAAAATCAAAACTATAAAGAAGGCAGCAGCCTCCTCCTTTTCCCTCTCCCCCGCTCCAGAGGATTAAGCCTACAAAAAAAAAAAAAAAAAAAGAAAAAAAAAAGAGAGAGAGAGAGGAAAAAAAAAATGTCTGCAGCTTTCTGTTGACCCTGCATGATGGCATTTTTGCGCTCTGTGTGCTGCCTCTGCTGATTGCTATTCCTGGCACAAACACACACACACACACGCGCGCACACACACACACCACACACACACACACACGCAGCCCCAGCACGGCTCACACGGGCACGGCGAGCCCACTCCAAAATACAAAAAAAAAAAAAAAAAAACAAACAAAAAAAAAAAAAAACCAACCAAAAAAAAAACCCCAAACCCAACCCAAACCGGTGCCGCTCGGTGTCCCTGGCCACCCTGGTCTCTGTCGGGAGAGCTGCCAGCACCCGCTGCCGCTCGCCCTCTCCTCCACCCCACTTCTCACCTCGGTCCCCAGCTCCAGCGAGCACTTTCTGCCGGAGCCGCCCGCAGCCAGAGCCCTCCACCACTCCTACCGCTGGCATTACATTTTCAGGCTGGATGCTATAGGGCCGTTTCTAATTACCTTATATCCCCTAGTGGTCTATGAATAATGGTTAGTGAAGGAGCTCAGAAGGGCTGCTGAGAAGGGAAGCAAAAAAAAAAAAAAAAAAAAAAAAAAAAAGGGAGAATTGTGCTATTTCTCACATTTTTTTTTCTAAGGATCTAATCTGGCTACTGTGCTCTGGAAGAGGAGGAGAGCGAGCCAGCAGGAGAGAGAGGAGAGAGCGAGGACCATCGCAGGTATTGTTGCAAGCTACATCTTTGTGCTTTTTTTTTTTTTTCCTTTTTTTTCCTTCTTTTTTTTTTTTTTTTTTTTTTTTTTCTTGAAGCCGCAGCAGAATTGGAAGGGAGGGCGTGAGTGTGGGGGGGGGGGGGGGGGCGGGTGAGGGTGTGCGGACTGAGCTTTTTCCGGATTTATTTTTCTCTTGTGCAACTCGTGTGCTGCTGCTGCGATTGAATGGATGCACGGCGCCGGCATCGCGGAGTTTGGGGAGGGAGGGGGGATTATACGTGCGTGTGTGTGTGTTGTGTGTGTGTTGTGTGTGTGTCCTATTTGCAGCAGCGACGGAGGAGCCGGGGGGGGCGTGTGTGTGTGGGGGGGGTTGTTTTTGCTTTTCTGGAAGTAATAAAGAAATTTGCAACCGGTCCAAAACCCCTCCTGACTTGCCGATTGATGGGTGCCTGAACAAAGATGCAGCTGAGACTTGGAAATGTTTGTGCGTGGAAGGGGGTGGATTTCGTTTTGCTTGTCCTGAATCCCTACTTTTGCAAAGTTAAAATAATAATGGGCACGGGGCTGCGAAAGCCTCTGCGGAGGGAAGCCTTCCCGGGGAGGCTGATTTAATTGAGGAGTTATGGATGTGCATGGTTTTATACTTCCAAAAGTTGCGGCGGTGCCGCGGGCGGGCGCCTGGCTCTCCTTGCCGTTGTCTGCACGTGAGAACGCTGACTTGATGGATTTTCTTTCTTTTATTCGGTGGCTGGCAGGGCAGGAAAAAATGGATCTAGCAGATAACCCAAGGAATCGTGGGGTTTGCACATCTGGCTGCGCCTTTGGAAAGCCCCTTGATGGGACTTTCACCTCCCGCTCCCTTTTCTCCCACGGCAAATTTCGCCTCCAAATCCTCCCGTTGACATTAATAAACAAACAAACCGGGGAATAGCCGTGGAGCCCGGTGAGGGGGCTCGGAGTGCTGCCCGGGGGTGGGGAACCGTGTGCTTTTGTTTTAAATAACGAAACGGCGATGATTGAAAACATATGAATAGGATGCAATGCAGAGCGGGTGTGTTACGGAGAGGGAGGCGGGGGGGGGGAAGAGCTGGAAAACTGCTTATACGACAGAAGCAGAGCTTGAATGAGTGTGGTGAGATGAAAGGCGAGGGGTCCGTCCCTCGCCCGGCTGCGAGGGGGGGCGATTCCCAAAGGCGGAGGAATGATCTCGGCGTGGGGAAGCTCACTGGGGGGAAAAAAAAAAACCCTAAAAAAAAAAACCCCAAAAAGAAACCCCAACCAACCTGAAGTATGTGATTATATCCCGTCCAACCAACTTTGCCGGTTGCGGCGTTAACGGAGCTAATTGTCCTCAAAAATAATAAAACCAGGGGGAAATACGCCTGCGGTGTGTGGAAGGGGGGAGATGTGCAGGTCCCCAAACCCCACGGGCTCCCCCAAAAAGCGCCGCCGGGCTGGGGGACACCGAGGCGGTACCCAAACGTGGCCGGATTGTGTTTATTTGGGCGGAAATAAAGATGGAGCAACTGCCCTGGGGAGGGCTGTAATCCCCCCGGGAAGGGCTCCGAACCGCGCCGGTGCTGCCCTTCGCTGCCTGCCCTTCGCTGCCCGCCCTGCCTGGCCTTGCTTTTGTGTTTGTTTGCTTCCGAGGAGGGGGGAGAAGGGAGCCGGGGGGGCCGCGAAGGCGGGGAGAAGCCGTGAGGGCGGAGAGCCGATTTAAATTGGACTTAATGGATTCCCAGGGCAGCTCTTTTAGATGAAAGTCAAAATAAGAGCCAAAGTGAATCTCAGCAGACCTGTCTGTTGCATTAGAGATGCAGCCCTTCCTCTCCCTCCCTCCCTTTATTCTTTAAAAGAGAGGGGGAAAAAAGTGTTATCCTTACGGAAGACGGCGTGGAGTTTCTCATTCCTATAATGCGAGCTCTAATTGAAGAACTTGCAGCCTCTTGGGAGAGTCTTTACTGATCGCTGCTTTTGTTATTCATGCCGCGCTCTGTTTTCTTGGGATTTTTTTGGGGGGGCTGATGTGAGTCTGACTGCGCCGGGTGTGATGCTGTGTCCCCCCCAGGCCGGCTCCGCGGGCTGACAGCAGGTAGGACCCCCTGGTCCCCTCCTCAGGGGGTCACAGCGGGCTCCCCCGGGTCGGTTGTGCTGTGCTGGAGGAGGAGATGAGCAGCTGAAAGCCCCCGGGAGCTGTCGGGTGGGGGGAGATGCTGCAGCCTGGCTGCGGGTGGCTCTCGTCCTCACAGGACCCCCCGGGAGGGCTCCTTGCCCGGCGTGGCACAGGGGATGGGGGCGCAGCAGGGCTTCTGCCTCCTGCCTGTGCTCACTGCAATGGTTTCGGGGAGCCGTGCAGTGCCACGAGCCTGCTTGGTGCAGAGGGCACGGTGCAGCCCTGCTGTCACAGCTCTCCTGTCCCACGGGGGTCTGCCGTGTCACCTGGAGGGGACAGGTGTTGTGCCAAGGCCACGTGGGTGCTCTGCCCACCCAGGGTGAGGAGCAGGACACAGCCAGTGAGCCTGCAGGACCTGTGCTGGGCGAGTTTCCCTCCTCTCCTGCCTTTTCTGTTGCTCAGGAATTCAGGGGTGCACAGGGAGACTGGCAGATGGGGCTCCCCCCTTCAGGGGTCTCATCACCCCTCCCAGCCCCCTTGGGTGGCCAGAGGAGCTGCTGGCCTGTGTCCCCAAGCCCTGTGTCCCCACAAGGTCCCATGGAGATGCTGCCCATGGCAGTGGGCTGGTTTGATGCAGCCAAAAGCTCCTGGGGGGCAGGTCCTTGCTGTCCCTGCGTCCCTTTCCCAGCCTTGGGCACCCATTTGAACTACACTTGAGCTCTGCATGAAGGAAAACAAGAGCCACAAGCCCCAGGGCTGCTGTCAGTGGCATTTGGTGGCTGTGGGGTGAGCGTTGCTGGGGAGGAGGATGTGTGAGCAGGATGGGGCTCTGCCAGCCCATCGGCTTAGCACGGAGGCAAAGCAGTTAACCTGGACATCTGATCTCCCCGGGAATTGTGTATTGACCCTGACAGCGATGCATCAGGAGCGACAGACTCTCCATCATCGATCCCTCTCCTCCCATCACCAGGTGTCGACACCGACAGCCGTGGAGCCGGCTTTAATTTCAGGCCTCTGGCTCCAGCACGTAACACTTAGCCATGGTCCCAAGGTGCCACCAGGCTCTGCAAACAAACACCTGCACAGGCAGGTGACCGTCCCCATTTTGTGGCAGGGATGGCGCTTGCTGTGGGTGGCCAGCTGAGCTGGGGGCAGGGTTGGCAAGGGACCATCCCAGGGCCATTGGGCAGGGTGGTATTGCAGCCTTTGGTGGGGGATCCGGGGATCACCTGGAGTTCCTGCTTTGCTGGTCTTTGCTAGGAAAGCCCTCTGATCTGGCACCCCTTGTGCCATCAGGGTTGAACGGCAGAGGATTTGCCCGAGCTGGGGTGTCCCAGTCCTTTTGCAGCCTTTTCTGAGTGACCTTATCTGGCCTGGATGTGTCTTGTCTTTCCCACCTCTAAAATGGCTACTCCCAAACCTGCTGGGTGGTCAGGTGTGTGTGCCACCCCACAGAGACCTGCTGGGGAGCCTGGTGGGTTTCTTGGGTGCCTTGATTTTGGTCAGGGGCCGGCTGGCACCTCGCCTCTCCTCCTTCCCAGCATCTTGAGATTTCCGAGACGCACGCAGCCAAGCTGAGGCTGAAAAAGCTGCTTGTGGTGGTTCAAGAGCATCTCCTCGACAGAGGAGAGAGAGGGAGGCTTTTCATTCCTCCCTTTCTTTTGGAGCTATCCAAGCTCCCCTCACCGGTGCAGGGGCTCTTCCCGCTCCCCCCTGCAAGGGAACGTTAAAAGCCAGGGGCAGCGGATATCTTGACACCCCGTCAATCCCAGCCTTTTACAGCAGCAGTCTCTGAAGGCTGGCACTGCTGCACAGAAGAAAACAAGTGAGAAGAGGGGGGGAGGCGAGAGCAAGCCTTTGCAGCCGGCAATCGATAATTGTGGTGTCACTCACTGCCTTGGAAGTTCCCGCATCCCCACGGTCGCTGGTGGGGGGAGAAGGGGAGGGTGGGAGCTGGGCTCTGCCCTGCCAGCACCGGGCACGGGGCAGGGAGGGTGGCAGAGGGCGAGAGCCCAGCCCTGAGCAGGAGCCTCCCGCTGCATTACTCACCACTTGATGTAGCTTGAACCTTTCAACTCCCTCCCCTTGGGGATGGAGCGGGCTGGGCAGAAGGTGTTGACGGAAAACGCTCTCCTTTCTTAGCTTTGAGGGTTTTTATTCCCCTTTCCTTCTTTTTTTTTTTTTTTTCCTTCCCCACCTCTCTCTATGGGAATTTTGGGCTTTAATAATCTCCCCAAAATATAAAAGAAACCCAAAAAACCCCCCAGCCCAGCTCCCCCTCATGTGTGTCTCCATCTTAGCAAAAGCCGAGGCAAAAGATCAAGGAATTCTTCCTTTTGTGCAGCTTTCAAGACCAAAGATGTGCCGGTGAAAAGGGGAGGCTCAGAGTACCAGGCACACACAAGTGTTAAAGGAGAGGCTTCCCTTTTGTCTCCAAGGCAATCAGCCGGTGAAGGGATCCACAAATTAATTAAAAATTGCTCTGTCTTGATTGAGTTATTCCTGCTCGCATCCCACCTGCCTATCAAAAGACTGGGAATGGCAGGAGGAAATTCCTATTTCTTTCCCAAACAGCTCAGACACGTACCACGGTCTGTCTTGCTTGCCTTTTATCCCAGGCAGCAAAGGAAATAAAAAAAAGAAAGGGCTGGCGCGGTATCCAAAGAGATCTCTCCCGGAGGATGCGTCCCCTCTCCTGCGCTAACAAATGCTGCGGTATTTGGACGATTTGGAAGAAAAATGAGCAGATTTACGTGTCAGGCATGGGCCAAATTGTAGTTGTAACTCCATGAAGTTGATGGAGATCCATCGGAGATTAATTTGGCCCCAGGTCTGGCGCTTGCTCCGCAGGGAATAGGCTGGATCTCTGCCTTGGTTGAAACAAGAGGTATTCAA